TGCTATACTTTTCATTCCGTCTCACTACAAGGAATGACGTGAATGACTGTTGACAGTTGTCAAAGAATAAAATTAGATTGACGAAAAACGAAACTTTTTGAAAGATGAAGACATTTTTTAATTATTTTAAGTATGACAGGTTTCATACCTTCATTCCCAGAAAAAATATATTCTCTTGATCTCAGAGAACTCTCACAAAACACCACAATCACTACTCCCAATATGCGTTAATTTTATTTTCTTGATTTTTCACTCTAGTATTTTGATTTTGAAAATTTTTGGAGCCCAAATATATAAATATAATTTATATCATCTATAATATGTCAATTTCTCTTTTGGAGGATTGCAACTTCATGAAGTTTCCCGTTTTATTTGTAAACGTCATTCTGTTCCCACCACCACAAGAATGGAACAAATAAAACGCAATTGTTGTTTCCTAACAACAATTTTTCGAAAACACGTTTAATTATCACAATAATACATAATAGGGAACATTACAAAACATGTGCAATATTCTGCAAATAACTAATTAATTCATCATCATCAAATGTTTCGTCAAATGCTGAACATGTATTGCGTAAATGTAAAAACTTCACAAACGATAAGATTTCCACAAAATTCTTAAACACGCAACATGTTTCGCCGCTAACACAGTAGCTTCGTCAGGTGATATACTGATACAATGAACTAAACCAACGTTGGCTTGCTTAACTTTTATATATCATACTTTCCCAACTTGATGGATTAATTACCTGTGGACAGGATCGATAAACCTCCATTTTCGGAAATTAGGCACAATATCTACATTAAATTACGGTATACCGGATTAACTTGAAAGGGTTGATAAATGAATATTATTACCTACTAAGAAAACAAATTCAACAGTGGTGAACTATTGAGGTCTAATTGATCGTTAAGTAAAATAAGAAAAATTTTTGAGTTTGTATTGATTTCTAATGATTCAAAATGATTGAGTTTCATTCCTTTATTTTCTACATGTAGAATTTCGAAATTATCATCAGAACTATGGTCTTCTCCTAATATATGGTTGGCGTATGTTGAATTTGTTTTCTTTTTCAAAAAATTCATCTTATGTTCATGAATGCGCTGATTAAACGTACGACCTGTCTGACCGATATATACCTTAGGACAAGATCCTCAGTTGAGTTTGTATACCACTGATTTTTCGAATTTAGAAGTTTTGTCTTTATTATATTTGATAAACCTTCCCAACGTGTTATTTGTTCTATACGCTATACTCTCTCAAGTCCTGTTTATAAAGAAATGAAGTTAATTTTTCAGTTGATGATCCGAAATAGGTTAAAGTTCTATAGTTTTGATTATTATTGTTGATGATAGGATAACCTTCTTGAATAGCTTTATTATGAAGTTTTTCAGAAAGAATACTGTCATTTTGTGGAAATCTTATCGTTTGTGAAGTTTTTACATTTGCCATGGATTTCCAACAAGTAGTCAATTCAAAAAATATAAATTGCGTAGTCTCTGGTCCAAAGATTTATACTTTTCGTGGGGGCTCCTCTCTAGGGATGGCTTTCGCAATTTCAAGTTTCGTCAAGCATTGTTCCTTCTTGATTTTGGCCAGGAAATTCCAGAGCGATGATTTTTGGGCGTCAATAAGGGATAAAAATCCTCTATGCTACGATTCAACGGCGTTGTTGGTCAATTGACAATTGTGATTGCTGAAAAACACTTTCAAAGCAGCTCCAAAGAGAATAATCAAACATGTGTCCAGCTCTAGTTCTTCTGTTCATCTTTCCCGACCATGTGTTTTCGAAATAATCAATAAATTCTTCATTTACTTCCGTGGACAGATGTTCTCTCACTATCAAGTCGAAGCCTCTGAAGATCAAAGCAACTGGTACGAAACCTAACGCTTCCAGCATCTTGATTTTCAAATTAAAATAACAGAATAATGCTCTTGAGGCGTCGTTATTGACGGACATGAATAATGTTGGTATTTGTTTAGAAAAGTAAGCTAGGTATGTAGATTGTTGAAAAAAAAACAACAATCCAAGGTCTTGAACCGAGAATGCAAATATCAGATAACAAATTTTTTCAGTGTATAAAAATATGAATTTTGGTCAATATGATGGAACCTGATTTTCATCGTAGATAGATCTATATAGATATTTGAACGTAGTTTATAATTTCAGGTGAACTTTTCCAATAATTGTCGATATTGTCGAAAATTAAGGTAGGTACTTTATACTCCTGAGCAAAATTGATATGTTTTGACATATATATACCTCGTATACGACTGAAAAATTATGATATATGATGCTGTAGTATAACTTTTTTTCTTAAAATCATAAAAGTTTTCCATTTGTTAAAAACTTTTTCAGACAAGCAATTTATCAAAACACCGTAGTTATTGCGAGAAACGTCAGATATCCTATTGAATGTCTTTTAAGGGTAGGTACAAACTAGTCTTCCTGATTTTTCAAAGACGTTTAAACTAAAAATCAAATTTATTACATGTTTACACTTCATTTTCTATAATTCAAATCAGACCACACCAAGTTATTCCGGAAATTTTCGGATTTTTCATTACATATCCATTTTTCATGAATTCGAATTAGTTTTCTAAAACTTTCTCAGAATTCGGAACCAGGAGTTGAAAATTTTAATTTCAAATGAGGTTTTATTATTTTTCACTTTACACGTTGAGGCGTTCTTTAATGAGCATATTAGGGTATAATCTCGGGTGAAAAAAGTGAGTACTTGTTTCCCGGATATATTATATAACATATACAGTGTGACCCACTTCTAATGGAAACACTACTGTATCTCACGTGATCGTCGGGTGAGGATCCTGAAATTTGCTGGAGCGAGAGATATACCAAAAATGCACTCTAAAACCAAGTGGGGTCATCTTCAGTGATATACACTGCTCGCCAACAGCCATGGAACCACTTCAATTTCCGGAAAATGATATTAGGAGTCAAAATAGGTCGAAAATCACTTCAGATTCGGAATCAGGACGCACAATTCACTAACTATTCATATTGGTGGTTTCCCCCATTGTTAGTTCAAAGTGACACTTTCAAATGTTTCGAAAAAATAAAGTTATTGACGTAGTGGTCCACACCTTCCCAAAAACGTGAAACGAATTACACAAATTGTAGTTGTGATATATGCAGTGGCGTAACTTCATATTTTGGGGCCCCCCGCCAAAATCATTTAGGGCCCCCTCGAGACAAACCTTTCCAGTCTCAAGTCCCTTCTTTCCATGACCTATTAGTTATATTGAATAGCCAACAAGCTTTTTTTTCTTTGGGTGAGTAACACAACCATTTTCTTGGAATAATTTGCCCAGCATGACTTTTCTGTGAATAATAAAAATTAGAGAAATTCCTCTTTTAGAGAATTTATATCTGGTTGAGAAGGGCCATTACGAACAATAAACATTTTTATCGTGTTGCTATGGTGTTGCTCAATTCTCGTCCACTGAAATTGCCTTTATCGCAAGGAAATGATTCTTCAATTAATACATCTCCAGGAGTTCTCGTATGGGCTCCTCGTGGATTTCAGATATAATACTTTTTATATTCACACCATCTGTATATACCTAAAGTTTCGAATGCAGTAGTAGCAGAAGTCTCGTCATTTACTAAGTTAAAATTTGATATTTTTCAATATACCTTTATTTCTCTTCTCCAAATTGACACTGACGACAAGCTAGTGAATTTTTCTTTTAGGCTCTCGGATAGGAAAACTCTTCAAAAGCAGTGACATTTTGGGGCAAATCATCTGATTTGTCCTTACTACACGTATATTGAAATAATATTCATATTTTTATTTTATAGAAACGAGGAGAAAAAATCCCAAAAAATCTGGAATAATAGTTTTTCTTCCATAATAATTGCAGAGTCAACATCCATTCCTGTTTCAATCATCATACTGCTACTACTTGATGGACATTCATCATAATATTCAACTGTATTCTGCACTATTCGCAGAAATGGAAAAAATATTCCTGTGGCATATTCATAATTAAAAAATATTCATGTATCAACCAATTTGGCTGAGTCCTTGCTCTGGTTGGTGGACCCAGGGCCACAGGGCCCCCTCCGAGGAACGGGCCCCCCGCAACCGCGGGGTTTCGCGGTATAGTAGTTACGCCACTGGATATATGGTGGATGTATGCAGCAGTTTAAAGTCGTAAGTATTAATAAGTTATAAGTCTTAGGAAGTTCTGTCATTTCTTTTCAATATAAAAGATCATACACGTGTCATAAACAGCCATAAGTTAGAAGTCCTGAGAAGAGTTGGATGAAGTTTGCTTTGCGCATGAGCCGTGTGCTATACCATTTGTAATCTCTGTTTTGTTTACATCTGTTTTAATCAAATCAAATCCAAAACAGATATTTGTAAGTACTGAATAATGAAAAATGTCAATTCAATAAACCTGATAAGCAATAAGCAACATGAGCTAATGAAGGGGTGCTTTTCTTATGAGCAGTCCTTATGATTGCTGTAGAATCACCATTTTCCCCTTACCTTACGACTTGGAACTTGTGACTTAAAACTTAACGGACGATAAAAAAACGATAAAAAAACTTCAAACTTAAGACTTAGAACTGCTGCATTAATCCACCATTAGCTAGCAACGCTACCCCGTCGTACCATCGGCATGACGTCATCGACGAGACGGTACCTGCTGGCGACCGTCGACGCCGCATCTCTCCCCCTGCACCGGCTAGCGCCTTCTTCAGGCCAAATCCCATCAATTATTTCCAACGCTCTCTCCGCCTCGACCGCTCCGCCACAGCCGCCTAGCCGTTTCAAAGGTTTCAACGCCCCAACTCGCTCGATAACGACTTGTTGCTCGACGGCGGCAAAGGCAGTACCGCGCGCGCGGAGCGAAATCCACGCCACGCCGACCGTTCCTTATTTTCGTGCTTTGTTCCGATTCCGATTCCCACGCAGACTGTCTCGTTCCTGTTTGCTGTTTCTCTCTCCTCTTCTCTCTTTCGGGGATGGACTACGACACGAGGTTGATCAAGGAGATCGAGAAGCACGCCGAGCTGTACGACCAGGCGCACCGGGACTTCAAGAACAAGGATGCGAAAAAGAAGGTCTGGGCTGCCATAACCTACAATTTGCGGAGGCAGGTCGACGCACATGCCGGTAAGCTAAGTGTTTACGTTTCGTTACCGTTTTCCTTTCTCCAGGCGCTTCTTCGACAGATTGCCTTGGCGATGGTATTGATAGAATAGACATAATATCGGTTCTCGTGTGTTATTTTCACGATAATTCGCGCCAGGAAATAAGCGTACGCCACCTATAAGGGATTTTGGAAGCTGTCAAAGCGGTCTGTTCATTGGTTCACATTTGTTTTTTTGTTTGTGCTTATTATTCGCATCAATTTTCACATCCAACAAAACAAATAGCTCAGAAGTGTTCCATGTTATTGCCGTCAGGTAGGGCGGCGTGTTATTTTCGATCACGAATACTCACTAGACTCACTCAGGCCACCAAACATTTATGTTCGGTGCTCCGGCCACTATTATGTATTCTAGAGTTATTCTGGCATGTTTATTTGGATTCAGGCTGTTTTCTTTGACTTCAGACTTTTTTCTTTTAATTCATACTTTTTTATTTGATTTCAGATTTTTTTCTATGAAGAATTCATAATTTTTTCTCTGATGCCAAAATGTTTTTTTTAATTCATACTTTTTTTCATATGCATATACATCAGGGTTCAGGGTTCAAACAAAACACCGCAGAAAATCACCTTACGTGTATTTCTATGCATACAAATGAATGTTCCTACTGGCATTTCTCATATGAAGATGCTTCGTTCCCTATAAGAATGGAAGTCCGGTGTACACTTTATTGGAAGTCACTGGTATTTGCTGGAAGTTTTTGGTAGTCATTGAAAATAATTGGACGTCTATGGTAGTCACTGGAAGTCTTTGGTGATTACTGGAAGTTTTTGGTGGTCACTGAAAAAGACCGAAGTCTTTGGTAGTAATTTCAAGTATTTTGTAGTCATTGGAAGTATTTGCTAGTCACTGGTAATCATTGGTATAGTCATTGTAGAATTCTCTGGAATTTTTTTAGTATAGTCAGTGGAAACTAGTCTAGTCACTAGAAATCTTTCGAAGTCGCTATAATTCTTTGGAAGTATTTAGCAGTCTTTGAAAGTGTCTGCTCATTGGAAGTCTGGTGTAGATTCAACCCTCCCTCAAGAAACACATAATACATTGTTTGATAACAAAATAAATGTCGTTGAACGTATTGGCTTCAATGAAGACATGGTCCAGATGATTATTCTTCGATTGCAGAGATATTTTTGTATTGACATTGTTCACGTGTGTCGACGCTGGTGTGAAGTTGCACCCTGTATAACACGAAAACGAACGGTCTCTCTGCAAAACCTGTCAGTAGGAGCCTTCATTTTTCTACAAAAAATGCGTGCTGTTTATTCTTGGAACACCCTGTCCATACAATTAATATGAATTCGTGGATTAGTTTGAATTTGAAGAAAACAGTCTGGATTCAAAGAAAAAGGTCTGAATTCAAAGGATAAAGTCTGAATTGAAAGAAAAATGTCTTGAGTCAAATTAAAAGTAAACTACACAACATAATTATTGTGGAGATGACTGGGAGTTTTTTTCGAGATTTTTCTACTAGGTTCTTCATCAATTTACTCCACTTTGAAATACCATAGACTTCTACTTCAGATTAAAATAGTACACAACAGTTGCCACTCCACGCTCTCCTAATAGGGCGCTAGTGGTTGGCAGTGGAACTAAGTTTTCAAATTTTTGAAGGGCTGAAGTCTCAGACTGACAGAAAAAAATGGTTGGTTTCAAACAAATCAACATTTATTTTTGTTCAAGGTCAAATGCCTCATGTGTTAATGCGTTCCATAATTGACTAAACAAGTTATATAGTATAAATGATTACATGTGGCGAAAAAATAAAATCCAGATTTATTGATATTTTTTTAAACAAAAGCGTTAGACTCGTAAAATATTCTTTGATCTTGAATATGGAGATGAATATAGACAAAACCGATACAGGTTACGACAGGTGCGAAAAAAACCAAACAAGTTATACAAAATGGATTATGGAAAGTAATTTTTTGTCACAGACACACAGAACATCAAACATAATTTCGAATTTTTGCTTTGATTCCAATATTTTTAGTGAGCTACAATGTCTCAATAAGAAGGGGTACACCTTTGAAATTTTCCCTTGCATGTTACTACCCCTTATTTGTTCAGAAAAAAAATGTATCAAATATTCTTTTATGTTGAGCCCAGTGAGAACTCCTAATACACTCTTTTTCTAAAATAATGACATCGATTCACTGAGTAGCATATGCAAATACCAAATACTGTTAATAAAAGGTCCTGCTACAAAAAACTACAATATTTTTAGTTAGCTACAATGTCTCAATAAGAAGGGGTACACCTTCGAAATTTTCCCTTGCATGTTACTACCCCTTATTTGTTCAAAAAAAAAATGTATCAAATATTCTTTTATGTTGAGCCCAGTGAGAACTCCTAATACACTCTTTTTCTAAAATAATGACATCGATTCACTGAGTAGCATATGCAAATACCAAATACTGTTAATGAAAGGTCCTGCTACAAAAAACTGACTCACCCTGTGGGTATACAGGGTTGGTTTCAGAATTCCGATCACTCTGTATCTGTTCCTGAAATGTCAGTAGGTAGTAATTCAGAAGTTGAGATAGGGACATGTAATCCGTTTTGACCAATAATGAATAGTTTCGATTCAAAAAACCCCAAAGTTGAAAAATCTAGGTTTTAACACCCTATATCTGTCATCATTCTCGCTAGATCCCAAGTCTGATGAATTGATGAGATCTGCTCTTCAGGTAGAATCTAAAATTGCAAAAATAATCAGGGTGGTCCATTCAGAAAATTTTTGTAACTACCATTCATTTTTTTCAGTAAAAACAGTAAAAATGCGATGGAAAAGCCTACGAGACTCCTATGTGAAAGAAACCCGACACAAAATGGCCATCAGTAGCGGACAAGACTTGAGGCCGAGGAAAAACTGGCGTTACAGCTCCGCCATGTCATTTCTTGCTCCCCATCTAGCCATCAGCTTTCCAGTATCTCCGGTCAAAGACATTTCCGACGAATCTGAAGACGTCCACGATGACGGAACCTTGCCACAGTATTTCCTCAACATACACCCTTCGCACGAAAACCATGACGACGGCCATTTTCTCGGTGCACTTTTGGATCTCTCCAAGAACCAGATCAAGACTGACCTAGATCACTCCAAAGGCCATCTGGATCTCTCGAGGAACCACCAGGATGTGTCGAAACACCAGAATATCGTCGAGCCTACGGAAAACGAAATCGATTCGTTCTTCAGAGGATTGTCGGATACAGTGAAAAAACTGAACCCTGTGAATCAGATCAGGATACAGAGGGATATTGTGAATATGGTGTTGGACGTGAAATTGAGGGAGCTTCAAGAGAAATGAAGAATTATTTACTTACGCTATACTCATGTCTAAGGCTTAACGATAATTATTAGGTATATAGGTGATATTTTCATTCCATTGAAAGACTTATTTTTTTAAATTTCGAAGAGTGATATCAAGTTGATGTTGGTAATAAAATGATTACTATTCAGTCATTATATATCTCTTTGAGGATCGATAGTATACAGGGTGGCCCACATTTCGTTGTCCCACTATCGCTATCTCTGGATCGGTTAGAGATAGAAAGTTGGCTAAACAAAAGTTGCACATTTCGGGAGACTTCAGGACCATGTGAAGAAATCGAAGATATCATGAGCCGTTCCCGAGATAATTGAGAAAAAACTAAATTGGCGATTTTCATTTTCAGGCGATGGCCCTTTCATTTCGGGAAATAGAAAAAAACCACACAGGAATTTCTTCTTCTATTTCGTATGTTGTTCAATTTGGTAATATCAGATTTGTGATACAATGTTTCGTTCATCCAGGGCCACCCCCAACTCTTTTTTGAAATACGGACCTGATATATTTTTTTTTCAAATGAATTGGCCTTCTTATTCTGTATACAGACATGTATCACACTTTGATTCTTATCCCACTAATATAATTTTGAAAAATGTAATGTCACAAAGTCAACATATTTCAATGCGTTTGTAACAATTTTTCGAACAGTCATAGGTAAAAATGAAAAAAAAAACGTGACCGACCTTGGATCATTAGAATTGTTTGAAATGACTTCCACCATTTTGTACATATAGATTGACTCTAGTTGATATCTGTAACTGTAACGTTGCTCTCCTTACCATTTCTGGCGTAATTGACTGGAAAGCTACAACAATTTTTCGTTTCAGCTCTCTTAAATCTGTAATGGGAATTATCGTTGATCATATTTTTTAAAGCACCCCACAGAAAATAGTCCAAGGGAGTCCAAAGGAGATCGAGGCGGTCATTCCACTGGACCGTTAGTCCCAATCCATCTAGGAAATCGCGCGTTCAAATAGTCCTGTACAATAATTATGGACTCCACATCCATCTTGCTGGAACCATAATTGCCGGCGAACACATTTTCTAGATTGTTTTGAGCAAAATCAAGTATTTGACTCCGTTCAACATGTTTTCAATAAATATTGGTCCAATCCTATTATCCAGCAAACCACACCATAAATTTATAGAAAAACGTCTCTGAGGCATCGTTCCTTGAATGAAATGAGGATTTTGTTGAGCATAGATGTGTTTATTCTTTCTGTTGAATATTCAGCAATTAGTGAAGGTAGTTTCGTCGCTCCATAAAATGTATTTTGGTAAATCAATATTGCGAGTCAAACATCTATGGAACCACTCACAAAAAGCAATTCTTCTTGCAGGATCCCCTTGATGTAGAGTTTGAACCTTTTTGAATTTATAGTCATGGTATTTGTGCTTCTTTAAAATACGGTTGATTGTCGTTTTTGACGTTTTGCATAAACGAGCAATATTTCTCGAAGAATTTTCAGGGTTTAAAGCAATTTGAGCAAGAATATTCACTTCACTTACTGTGTGTTGGACCTGGTATCTAGTTCTTGCTCGATTAACACTTCCATATCTAGTCATATACACCGTGTCCCAGCTAAAACTTCCCCCTCCTGCAAAAAATCGACCGCGCGATCGAAGGACTTGAAATTTGGTCATCCAGTATATTTGATGATGCTCACTCAAATTATGCTATTGAATAAATCATAGGTATACAGGGTCACACCGAAGTGCACCTCAACTATCTTATTTGAATAGGGACACCCAGAACGATTCAATAAAAAATGTATATGATTAGATTTTATTAATATAACACGATTGAAATCGAATGAAAAGAAAATAATTAAAACCTCAACTGCTCAATATGTCGTCCATTCTGCTGCAAACATTTCCTAGCTCTTTTGATGACGTTCATTGTGAACCTATGTATCACGTTGCGATCAATTCGTGTGCATATTTTTTTTTTCTCTTTCATTTCTTCCATATTCACAATTGGCGACTAATAAACCTGTTGTTTCAAGTAGCCCCACAAATAAAAATCAAGTGGGGTGAGGTCTGGCGACCGAGCTGGCCAGTTGCTCGAGACAACTGGTGGTTATTAGATTTTAATTATTTCCTTTTCATTCGATTTCAATCGTGCTATATTGTTGAAATCTAATCATATAATTTTTTTATTGAATCGTTTTATTTTTTGTCATATCTTCGTAGTCGTCTGAAAAAATCCCATCGAACCCGGCTTAATGAACTCTACTTGAATATGGAATAATATACTGGGTGTCCCTATTCAATTAAAAACGTTGAGGTGCACTTCGGTGTGACCCTGTATACCTACGATTAATTCAATAGCATAGTGAGCATCATCAAATATACTGGGTGACCAAATTTCAAGTCATTCGATCGCGTGGTTGATTTTTTACAGGGGGGGATATTTTAGCTAGGACATGCACGGTGTATATTCATTGAAATTCGTTGACAGGTTTTTTTGCTGGGTTGACGTCGTTCTGGATAACAATTCATGTACTGATTGACAGCTTCAGCTGAATTTCTGAGGCATCGTATGTAGATTTCATACATATCCCTTTTTTCGTCATTGGAATACATTTGAGGCATTTTGATAACTAACAAGATGTCAAAAATTAACATTTGTTTCGACTTATTTACTATAAGCCTACTTGACAAAGACCAACAACAAGATGTCAAAAATTAACATTTGTTTCGACTTATTTACTATAAGCCTACTTGACAAAGACCAACATTCTTCTGAGATTGTCCTGATAAACATATTGTTTGATTCCAAATTTGTTTGGCGATTTGAAATATCATCATTATCATGAAGCAATATTCATGACCGCTCAATAAATTATGGTTTCTAAATTTGCAATGAAAAGTAGTCCATCGATTGTACATGATGATGGTCTTTAGGGATAGAAACGCAAAAAATACCCAAAGTGGGATACATGTCTGTATACGGGATTAAAATGCCAATTCATTTTTGGGAAAAAAATATCAGGTCCGTATACAAAAAAAAGTTGAGGGTGGCCCTGGATGAACGAAACGTTGTATCGAAAATTTGATATTATCAGATTGAACAACATACGAAATAGAAGAAGAAATGTCTCTGTGGTTTTTTCTATTTCCCGAAATGAAAGGACTTGCCTGAAGATGAAAATCGCCAATTTTGTTTTTTCTCAATTATCTCGGGAACGGCTCATGATATCTTCGATTTCTTCACATGATCCAACTTTTGTTTCATTTAACTCACTTTCTATCTCTAACCGTTTCAGAGATAGCAATAATGGGAGTGGGACAACGAAATGTGGGCCACCCTGTATAGAAGACCTGTCTATCAATGTCGTATACCCCGTTCCTCATCTAGCGATCAGCTTTCCAGTATACCTGCGGTGAACAATATTTTCGATGAATCTGAAGACGTCAACGATGACGAAAATACCAACATGCATAACCTACTATCTTGACTGCTAACACCTACCATGATAAAATTTCGTTAATTTACGAGATCGAAATAGATCCCATTCAAGACCTGTTATACAAGGTGCTGTACTTAGAGTTGAGTCATTTATTATAGCAGCTTTCACGTAAAGAGAAATAAATTTTCTAGAAAGTGTTTTCATAAAAGTTGCCAAATAGGGCAATTAAAAATAATTCAAATAATTTGAATTGGACATGAGATTGGAACATTTATTGTAGAATAAGAGGTATTTCACCGATAATTTCTGATTTTTATTGACATGGAGCTTGAACTCTTATAATATATCACTATCACTCTCCATTCTGCAACCTTTATGAAAACTATTTTTCGTTAAGCTGCTAAAATGAGCGACTAAACAAATTTCATGTATATTACTATACGCAATTTACGGGCATTTAGGAAGACGCCAGCATTATAAGAAGGCGGTAATATAAATTGCATCATATCGTGAGAGAAAATTCAGTTGAAAATAATAAAACAATAGTACAATGGGAAAGATTGTCAAAGATACATTGTTCTTGTTAAATTACCCTTGGACGAGATTCAATAAAAGTGAATGTTAATCGAAGCAAGTCGGATCCTCCCACCTGGAACGCCTAGGAAGGAATAAGTTATTAGTAGTAGGTACCAAGTACGCTAATTGCCTTCTTATTTCGGTAAGCAGTAGTTGGAATGGTGGGAAACTCAAATATAGTATACCATACGAAAATGAACTAAATGTGTCCTTCAAAGTATTGTCACTTTCGTTGTTTGGCAACTGCCATGATTCATGAGTAGTGACCTAGGTTCAAAATTCATCAATTTTACGACTAGTACATTATACATTAGGGGTGTATCTGACTTCGTATATTTACGAAAATGGCCTACGTATTGTTACGAAACCTCAAACACAGGAACGACCCATGGATAGCAATGTAAACTGTCAGCTTATTCCGAAACTTCCAGAGCGAAATTTAAAAATTCAAATTCATCATCTGTCTTGGAAACAGAGCTAGAACTGTATGACTGAAAATACAATTTCAATAATTCAAGTCCTTCTCCAAGATTGACACATAGTTTTTGTTCTTATTCTTGCCATTTTTAAAATACCTTTATCCAAATCAAAATGCTCAATACCAGAGATTAGTTACAATAATCAGAGGTATTTATATTGTGCTTTATGCTCAGACCACGCAGCTCAAACAATAAAAAATCGTTAATCATAATTTTGAATAATAACAATAACCCTAACCTCACTACTTGAAACACGGGACACGGGACAAAATTCTGTCAGAACAGTTTCGTAAGAACGGCAATTTTGTAATCTTACACAAGAAAATGGTAGTGTAAAGTTACGAAGGACCGCGTATCCTAATCGACCAATCAGATTAGTTTGCTGAATACGACGATACGAAAATACGATAATACGAAGCATTATACGAGGACCGGGAATACCCCTATTGTGACACTATTTTTACGCTGGCGAAAACACAAAAAGTAGTAGTATAGTTTGTGGAGTTCCTAT